CTTCTTGACATTGAGCCTCAATCCATATTGGAGGCTGCAGTTCTTGACCCTCTGCAGCAGGTGCTTCAGGTCCTCTTCAGTTTCAGCAAGCAGGGATAGCTATGGATATAGACGTCTGGTGGCATATTCCACAGGGGATTGTGTTGATAATCCAAAGGTGGCACCTCTCAGGAAGTTCTAATTCACCAGTAACTCCAAAGGAAATAAATGGGGAATCTCCTCCCACGTACTTTATTTACAGCAACCTAAACCTACTAGAGGATCAGCTTTGAGCTGATTTTGGCTCAATTGCAATGAGTTCTAAATTTATATGCATTAATATGATCAGGAATACACTCCTCATATAACATACTGCCATATATTTTGTGAATATAGAAACTATGGTATTCTTTGTGCATAATGACTGATACCCATCCTTCATATTTTCATTGTTATTTAAAGGAAATTTTCAAGATAATGCAAAATCAATTAGCAAACTGTATTTAGAAAACTGGGTGTAGTTATTCTTAAGTGCTATCATGGATTATATTGTGTCCCCCACAAAATATATGTTTGCTCAACTGGATCATGAGTCTCAGTATTTCCTATGTAATGATGTGATGTGATTTCTCCTCATTTATAAACCACTATTATGCTAAAATCAAAGTTTAACATTTAAACAGCAGATAGCAACTAGTGTTTTCTAACTGGGCAGTATCTTATAATATATTAAAAATAGTTGTCATTAAATAAAATCGTTTCCATCAAACTGGCATAATGCCACAGAGGTGGTAGAGTAGACTGGCGACTATAAAGTTTTCAAGCCTAGTTTTTCAGCAGCAAGTTACCAGGCTTTATTCTTTTTCCTTTCTTCTGTTTTTTTCTTCTGCTGCATTCTCCTGCATTTCTTCTTTTCTGGGTAGACTCTATGATGGCTGAACTGATAGGATTTTTTTCCCCCATACAGCCTTCCCTTCTGAATTGAGAGGTGTGTTGTGGGGAAACAGCTGAGTTGTCAAGCAATCTTACTATTCCTGCTTTCCTAGGTAACAGAAAGAGAGTTGAAGTCTGGAGGAGCCAACACCCAGGTCACAGAGAAGAACAAGAAGGAGTACATTGAGAGGATGGTGAAGTGGCGGGTGGAGCGTGGTGTGGTGCAGCAGACAGAGGCACTGGTGCGAGGTTTCTATGAGGTAAGGCCCACTGAGCTAGGTCAGGGATGCTTCATCTCTAGACATCTGTCTCTTTGTGTTCTCTGTGGACACCAAGACATAGTTTGTAACAGAAAGTAAATGAGCAGAAAACTTGGCTTTTAAAAAAAAAATAAATCAGGTCTTAAAAGTTAAGGACATAATATTAAATTGTATTTCTTTTTTTGCATTTTTTTAATTTATTAATTTTTTTAATTTTAATGAACATTTACAAAGATTTTGGATTTCCATTCATTCCTTGTTGCACTTTTTTCCCTGCCCACCTCTCCCCCCCATTTGCTCCTCTCCTTGAAAAGTAAAAGAAAAATTCCTTCATTGGTATACAATGGTATCTACTCCCCCCCACCCTGGTACACTCCACTATGCAACCTTCATTCTGGACTCTTGTCATGACCATAATACCCAATCATATGTTGCTTTTAAACTGTTCTCTCCCTCATCTGTTTCAATGCAGTATACATAATTTATCCAATTTTTCTCAGTCTCTTCCCAACCCTGATGTAAGTCCATTCTACAACAGTGGCACTATGCAGTATTTGTCCTTTTGTGAACTGAGATATTTCACTCAGGCTTGAGCAGAATGGAGTGGATGGATGAAGAGTCAGAAATCTCTGGGGAATCCAAGGTCTTGCTTTTTTTGGTGGAAAATGTCCTCACAAAACTGTTTTAAGTAAGACCAGAGTGTTCCAGGTGTGAAAAATAAACATCACACTTGTGTGGTTTTTACAAAGGTATTTTTTCCCCATGGTAATAGTATTTTTTTTAAATCTGATTTAATTTGGACTTTATAATGCAATATTGCTTGGCAGCTCAAATGTGACTACAGAAAGTCAAGTCACATTTACTTACAACCTCATTCAAAGGAGTATCAGAGGTGGTAAAAAAGCTTAGGACCGTGTTCCATTTCCAGCTCATAAATGAGTGTATTCTAGCAACACAAAGATATTTATTCACTCCTGAAAACAATCAGTTATACAAGTTCAATGGTACACTATCCACTCAGAATAATTCTCTCCAGTCTCTCCCATGTTATGAAATGTTTTGAGTGAACTAACTCAGTCTCATAAGGACAAATACTGCACAAGACTATTATTGTAAAAATAGAAGGATAACTAGTAGAAGAGCATGTATGGAGATCCAAGTGGGGAAGAAGAGGGAGCAGACTGGTGATGATGGGTAGGGAAAAAGTCACAGAGTTGCGCAATTGGTTGGTGGAGGAAGGGAATAAAATAAACTGGGAAAAATCTCATGGAGACCTGAAAAGACCGGATAATGGTGGGCATAGAACAATGGTGATTAATTTTATAATACATAATGAATGGGGATGATTGTATGAAACACGATGTAAATGAAGAATATTATGAAAAATACAATGTATATGAACTTTGTTAGCAAACCAATATAAAATTTAAATTAAAAAGGGGGGAAGGAAGCCACTATTTGCCTAAGAATAAAGCTTAAACACAGGGAGGAAGAATGAAGAGTGTTGTTACTATAAGAACTCCAAACAAGATTACAAGATGTATATATTTTTTAATGGAAAACCAGTTTGATTTGTAAATAACCGTTCAAATCACAATAAACTAAAAGAAAAAAAATTAAAACAAATGCACAAGTCAACATTATTGCACTTTGAAATCAAAGTTGAAGGTCAGTTTCCTGGCTTAACCAACTGACTCAAAGCCAGTCTGTGGGAATAATGTAATTCAGTATCTTTAGACTTGTGTGCTGAAGCCCAATTTGTGTTTCAGGTTGTAGATTCCAGGCTTGTCTCCGTGTTTGATGCCCGGGAGCTGGAGCTGGTGATTGCTGGTACTGCAGAAATAGACCTCAATGACTGGCGGAATAACACTGAGTACCGAGGAGGTGAGCTTTATAGGGTTAGGATGATGCAACTCCTATAGATTCTATTCATCACTTTCTGAAATCCACAATAAATGTGACCTTACTTTGTGAGCAGAATAGGTGCTTCAGTAATCCCTTGTCAGTAAAGTCTCTGTTCTAACTCAGTGTAAGTGCATAAGAGAACATTGCCATTCTTGGGTCAACTGTCAGCAATTTCCTGCTTCTTTTCAAATTGAAGCCCTTTTCCTTAAATTCTGAATTACTGGAACGTGCTCCTAACTGTTGTTTCTCTAATTTCTAATCTCTCCTAGTTATTCACCTTGTACACTACCAAACTGGTCTTCATGAAACACAATGCTTATACACACACCCACTGTATTTTCTACACTGCAAAATATAAAGCAATCCAGCCATTTCAACATATACCATTCAGTGATATTGACAGAGTTCTTAAATTTTTCTCATCTTCTGTCCTTAAGTTGTTCCTCCCATGTTAATATAAATTTATTACCACGGTATAATCTCTCTTGATATTCCTATCTAATAATTCTAATTTCATTTGTCGCTCTGATTTCATATAGATGGCTCTCAAAAGAGAGCCATATTTTTTTTAATTAGATAAATGGCATTTTTTATTTAGATATCTGACTTTGTATTTGTGTCTTCAGTACTTTCACAAAAATTTTCTGCTCCTCAGTATAAAGCATGCTTACTCCTGTCATGGACACACTTAGCACACATGGAACCACTATAAACTCTGCTGACAAGTGTTGTTGTTCATATCTTACAGCCTGAAAGATTTCATTGTCAACTAGTTTTTTGTTTTTGTTGTTGTAATTCTGTGTATTCCCTACATCTTCTTTTGATGTTTCCTGAATCACTCAAGAATTTTCCCAAAGCATCTCTAAGTATTAAAAATTAAAGCTTGAATTTTTCAGTTCTTTCAGCTTGAGAAACACTGAGTAAGTTCTTCTCATTTTACTCTCCAATACTAGGTCTCTATATACTTATAGTAGTTTTCTTTGTCTTCCTGGATTTTGACTGTGGTTTTATGGGGTGTTTTAGTTAATTGGCTTAATATAGTTTTTAATTATTGTGTTCTACCTCTTAGTTCATTGAATAGCATTTGAGGTTCAAAAAACTTGTTAGCAAACACTCCTCATGTGAAACTTGATCTTCATTTGTCCCTCATTTGGAAGAGCTTTTTTGGTCAAGAGTGAAAAAGAGAGGATTCTTCTTAGTGTTATTGCTCCCTTTCTATTTTTTCCCCCTTCATCTCTGATTAAAAGTGTAAACTCATAAAAATATTTCTATTTCATCACTACTGTTTTCTTGCATAGTTGATCTGGAATTACCAATTACATTAAAGATATTTAATTAATTACATGAAAAAATAGGAGAAAGGTATGCAATATGTTGCTAAAATACAGCTGCCTCCTATAACATGAATTCTCAACCTTACTGTCTTTGAATCATAACTAGCTCATAGCTGATCCTCCAGTAGGTTTTCAGAAGCTATAAATTACATAGAAGGAGGATGTCCACCATTCCCCTGAATAAAAACACCTTTGGGTTGGTAGTGTAACTCCTTACCCACTAAGCCACAGAGACCCCTCCTTTGCCATAAGACTAGAAGAACTAGATGGTTCCAGGCTTCTGTGCTACTACTGAATGTTTTGATCAAAGATGAATCCTTATAAAAATGGGGGAAATGCAAAATAAAATTTTGAATTCTCTTGTATGTCAGAATTTCTGGATACTAGGAATCTAGATGAACCACTGAAACTACTACCTTGAGATATCTTTAAAATTGATGTAAAACATACACCTTTAAATCTCCTTAAAAACAAAGGATAGTTTAGTTTAACTAGTCAAAATATTTGCATTAAGAATTACACTCTTCTTTGTGCTAGGTGAAATAACTCAGTCCTATAATACTGTATAAGTCCTATATACTGTACAAGACAATGATTGTATAATGTATATGAGGATCCAAGAGATTAAGAGTGAGAACAGAGGGGTGAGGAGGGGGATGGGGAATGTAGGGAGGTGTGGTTAATCATGTTGTTGTTGTTATGTGCCGTCGAGTCGTTTGCAACTCATAGCGACCCTATGTACAGCAGCCCTAAACCCTGCTCTATCCAGTGCCAATCTCATTGCCTCTGACACACCCATCCTGATTACCCCAGTCACTGAATCAATCCACCTCATAGAGGGTCTTCCCCTCCTGCGCTGTCCC